GAGTGAACATGCTTATCGGCAGCAATGGTATATCAGGTCCTCCTCGTTTAATGGTGGTTGGTGAAATGTCATCAGATCCCAGCTTGGAAGATGGCCTGATTACTCTGATAACTTGATGGATAGCGTTGAGCGAGATATCGACTCTGCTTAAGAGGTTTGTTTCTGTGAGCTTTGCATACACAGGCACCGGGTCAGCTTCGCGACTTATGGTAGTGGCAAAAAAGTCGCTAAATGCTTCACAGATTTCAGCTGGGTCATGGAGTAAGTGACCCACCATCAACAATTTCGGTACTCAGAGAGCGGTCACTGGTTCTACGATGCAGTATTTTGACAAGCTCCCTAGCTTTGCAGCTTGTCCGTAAGGCTGTATGTTCTTTATTTTTTCGTCGTGTTAATTGCGCGTGTTTGACTCTGGTGGTAAATTCATGCATTTGTAAAACAAGTGAAAATTCATGGGTCCTTCTGTATCTTGCAGCTAGCATTCTGGTTTTCCTGCTGATTAAGTGCCCGACGGAATCTTTGGAGACATGAGGGGTAGGAATATATTGCGGAGCAAGGGGGGCTATAGCGTGAGGGATTTGTCTATAGAACTGCTCCACAGCGGTGTACACACTCGTAGAGAGGAAAAATACATCCCAGTCGGAGAAATGAATGAACGGCTGAAAGCATTCCAAGTTTATCTTATGGGTTGCAACTGGCATTGTAGAGGCGAGTTTAATGACCATTTTTATTTGGAAGCTGAGTCGGATCATGTTATGGTCGCTGCCCTGGAGATTGTTTAAGATCTCGGTTTGTGGATTGGGTATCCCCAATGTGACTATTAAGTCCAGTACATTGGCGGACCTGGTTGGACTGGTAATCCATTGTGTCCAGCCCCCAGCTCTGATGGAAGGAAAAAAAAAGAGGCGTACTGGGTAGACGTTGGGTGGGATGACCAGCGTATTTTCAGCAGGTTGAAATTGTCGGCAATAATCTTCTGGATGTGTGGCAACTCTGATGCGAAGTCAAATGCAGAAGGGATGCTGGTGATAATTATGTTAGACGCATTCGGTGGGTTGTAGATACATGTGAGCAGTGTGTAAGATGAGACACCCGAAACTGACAGCCAAATAGATTCAGGGATATACACCAATTGTGAGTGGTCTACAGATTTAGCCATAAATGTTTTGCGTAGGTATTTAATACACCCTCCACCATTTCTGTGGCAGAGATCTTTTCGAAATAAGTGGTAAGTTGGAATCATCAGAGTAGAATCAAGTGAATCTGAAGAACACCATGTTTCAGTAAGGAGGATCGCTTGTGGGTCACTGAACTGTGCAAGTGTGTTAATAAAATGAAGTTTACGGAACTGGTGGGATGCAGCGTGTGGCCGGCCAGGGTGTACGCACGCCAATTACCACCCCTTCCCAGGCTCATAACCGAGGAGTTTGCCGGGTTGACCGGTAGGTCAACTTCTGCAGACCATCGGGATAGGCGGCAGAGGTCCTGCTGAAGGATGTCACAGCCGTTGGGAAATCAATAACCCTCCAAATCTTCAAGTCGTCTGCAAACCACGCACAAGGCGACCGAAGAAGCTGAGGCACTTCGTTTTTGTGGATCAGGAATAAAATTGGCCCCAGCACTGTTTTGGGGTACACCGTCAGTGGAGGGGTACCAGTCTGTTAGGTGGCCATCCTCCTGTACCCACCATCTTCTCCGAATAAGGAAGTCAATGATCCACCGGTGCAGTGTGAACAAACGTGTCTCGCAACGTCGAGAACAAGCGTCTGTTTAGTTAATAATTTATAAAAGCCTACTGTGAAATAACTCTCAAGTTGAAGTTAGTTAATATGTTATGCAGGTGGACGATATTGCTTAGACGTCTATGTTCAAGTCGGACCTGCACGCAATGAGTTGAACGTACTACTTAATAAAATATTCGGTGTGCACAAAAAAGTGGAAACCAATAGGGCACCGTGCTGCAACAGCAGAGCAGAGTTGGCAGCTGTTGAGATAAAGGAAACACCGTTCATGTATGTTTATAGTGCTCTACAGGGCACATACGTAACCACAGTAAGCCATGATGGTTTTGTAGGTCTACCACTTTGATGGTCAGAATTCGCTTAGCTTGAGGCGTGTAGCATCAAGGCAAAGCAGAATAAATACGCTTTATTAACGTCTAGGGCAGCTAACGGTGCCCATGATCGGCTGAACTCAATATTTATAAAACCTCATTCGGCAATGGAGAGATCTTCCTAGCCTACAGTTTATATGATGATAGGATGGACATTCTTATAGGTGACGAACATTCTCAGATCAGTGAGTGACGCTGAAGACACTCGTAAAAGCACTGTCAAACGTAAAAAAATGGAGGTGAACCAACCAATGAACCAAGTTGATGTTCTACAACTGTAAATGAAGTGGAATACAAAATATAATCCAGCCACACAATCAAAATAATGAAAACCCATGTGAACAGTAGTCAGCTGATCCGCTAGGTAAACTTTCAAGGACATGGTTTATTAAACGGATTAGACGAAGGAAATTGTTTTCTCCTCACCAAGCGAGATGACATAATCTGTACGTTAGTGTGTAGTGAGCAGTTTTGCTGACTGAATTGTCGGTCGGTGAATGACGAGCGGATGACCTATGAAATTAGAATCTTCCACTACGCCCAGTAATTTTTGTCCATTTACATCCGTGGCTGAAGCCGTCATCCAAGTTGCCCGTCTCACATCTTGTTTCGAACTTCGGCTCTCAATGCACTTACGATCTCACTTTTTGAGTGGTTGGTACCTGAAGTCGATGTCAACACGCATGGCGATTAAATCGTTAGAGGAGAACTAAGCTTTGTCAGGCGAAGTTTTAGCTGAGAGACTTAATTTGCTGCGATGTTCGTTACGCTCCGCTACACATCAACGCACTGATGATTTCACCTTGACTGGTGACGAAACATGTGGATCGAAGTTGCAAATCTCAGCAAACAGTTCATCTAACAAATGAATAACCTGACAAAGCTACATTTGTTTCCATATAAGTTTCTAGGAACTCCCTTCTTTTTTAACTGAGCCAGAAGCTCCGTTTTGCTCCAGTCAAAGCTGTGTCCACACTCTCACCCACGTGTGTTAACACTAGCAGTGACGCATAAGGCTTTTACAAGCCCTTCTGTCCTCCTGTATCCGTGCTCATAAGCTCCTTGCAGTTTGTCCAACAGTCTATGTTGCATCTTTTTGTCATTTAGTTTGCACATGACATCTGATCCGTATAGTGCTTCACAGTTATCATTCCGTTTTGACGCCGCCCTTCTCAGAGTGGCAGTCTGTTTGTGCGCTGTTTAAACAATCTAGCTATCAGCCCAGATATGTTATTCTTATGAGGGAAACTGACCCGTTCTCTTGCCTCAGGAATGAGTTCAGGGTCTGCGGGCCTATGGACTAAGTATCCTCGGATGAAACTGCGTGGGTACCCGCTGTGACCGCATGACCTGGCCTTTGCATCATACTGGTAAGTCTCCCTACACTAATTCAGATGCATCTGTGCTCAGACATTTTTACATGCCCTCCAAACATTCGAGAATAAAAGTTTCATTTATTTTATTTGCTGCGGTGTTTTAATTCGGCTAAATAACGTCCGTACGCAGCTAATTTCGTGGTACTTCAGGTGGTTACTATCGGATTTCAAAATCCGATACGCATGTGGGTTTATCCTAAAAAGGAATATTTGCAATTCGCTTTCTATTGCTCTAGTCACTAATTTGTTTAGAAAGGGAGCATATTTCTAATCTCCGACTCCATAGCAAAATGCATACCATCATTTGCATTGTTTTACTCTCTGTGTGCATTTCAAGAGTTTACGAACGGACATAAAACTATCGAAAACTATGGAAATCAAAGGTAAGTACAGTTGTCGAAAATGAAAATGGAACACAACACAGAGAAGTCCACGGTTTCTTCAGACGGCACAACACTACCCAGTTGCACAAGCTGAAGCAGGGAGTTGTCTTAGGAGACACCACCTCGAGTCTTTTGCTAAATAGCATACTCTCAAGGAAGCGGGGCGAATTCAGAAAGTCGCGCCCACAGGGGGCCGGTGACTGATTGTTGCCCAGACGCCTTTTGTTTGGTCGATTATAGGAGGAGGGCTAATTCTCTACACAATTTCACCTTCAGGTTTCTGGGATTCAGTGCTCCACCGAATTATAGCCAAGGATACTGACTTCAGTTGTTGGTGAGTCACATCCGCCACGTCGCAGTGCTACTAAACATATATTTGTGGTCTTTTATAGGGAGAACGCTTGCCAGGCGAAAAGCAAGCACATCCTGAAACACCGACGCCGAGCCATTCGTTGGAGCGGGATAAATCAGAACCACACAGCTGGCACCAGGAGGAGGCTGTTAGGCAAGCCAGATGGTCTGCGACCGCTAGTTCAATTCGTTTGAGTATTATAAATGTGTAATCGATGTACCGGAGCCACAACTGCGGGTTACTTTTTGTCAAGTCTTCCTCCAATTCTCGCATGACTATTTCCGAGATTTATCCCGATATTGAGGATATCTTCGGTGCCACGCTTCATTGGCGCATGATTCTCATCGTCGAAACTTAAGTGATTAGGCGTAGATGGAGGAGCATACATATCCTCTTGGTCTTCATATCCCCGAAACTTTCTTCGCTGTTGTTCAGGCGTCCGAAACAAAAAGCGAGAGGAACAGCTCAGGCAACCGCTTCAGCCGCGGAGGCAAATGGACAAACGTTATGGAGGTGGAATCGAGGATAACAACTGCAAACATCTCCTGCTCGTCGATCACAGAAAAGCGATCTAATATGCAAGATCGCCCCCCTATATATTATCGCACAGACTTTGTCACTTCGCTTGGTGACAATACGTATGCAGCCAAGTTACCAAGCTCGGCGTACTACCCTATATATGAACAACCAACCCGCGCTACCAGTATTACAAACAAATAAAAATAAAGCAAATAAGATTGAGGAGTCAGAATCATGCGTAAAGAAGTTAAACGCACCTTATCTAGATACTTGGGTACAATGGTGGATAAGAGCATGGATGAGGCTGGTGCGTTCTCAGATGGCTTGATTACAGCTGTATTACCTGCAGCCAATGCGCCGATCAAGGGCTCAAACACGGATACAAATGGGAAATTCCAGGAACCAAATATCAGCACAACTCCAAGGGGTTGACGCTGAATATATGGTGTGTCCAGAGCGGAAAGGAAGGTGCGAGACACCTGAAAGATCAACAGGATAGGCCTGAAACATGCAACTCACGTATTCGTCCCGAAGCCACTCGTGCATATGGGCCAGCATACATCGGGCTTCTTTCCTAGAAGCAGCTAAGTCCGAACTCATAGTTTCGGCTCGGCACTGTAAAGGCTATGAGAATTTCTTAAAGGAACACTTACGCGGTGCAAATCCTTTTTACATGCTTCGAATACTGCATCCGCGTTTTCATTTAACATGTTTAAAATAGATTGGATAGCCTTTTTCCGTGACTCCACTGAACTGATGACTCCCGATTCGAAACCTTCTCTCAAAAGATGGACAGCCTATACAAGGAATAAAATACCAGATAGCATACGTCTGAAAAGTCCGTTCCTTGCATTTCTGAACGATGGGCTGAAGTAAGGCAAAAGAAAGTTGGTTAGCAGAGTATTATACCGGTGGTAAGGAAACTTCACCACACTCCGCTGTTTTGTGCGCTTGCCCCATTCATTTGTATTCATACCGTCCTCTTTTACGGTTCCCCACATACGTTTTCTGTTGACTAATCTTTACGCTTAGCTTGTATTAACACTGACTCATATGATTAATGGCTTTTCTCTTACTCTGTACATTTCGCTCGTTCGTGAGACACCGTATCCATCCGTCGCCCCTGGAGTGACCAGCCTTGATTAATCGATTACCAGCCTTTCTGCATAGCCTGTGTATATGCCCTAATTTGGATCATGTGATTGAGTTGCACACACAGACGCTTGGTGGCCGGTTTGGCTTGCGGCGTGAACATTGTTTTCTACCAGTCGTTCGTGTTCTCACTACCGTAAGCGGGCGGAAAGTAGTCGCCGGGCTCCGACACAACACAGAGAAAATGCAAGAACTGCTTGTACAGTACACTGAAAACCGAAGATATTCCATGGAATTCACAAACAAGCTCCCGCATATAGTGTCAAGCACTCGCCATTTTTTTACTCATCGAGTACTTCACTGAAGTGCAACTTATTGCTTACAACCGATTTCATCAACAACTGTAGCAATGGACGGAGAAGTTGAACTGATGGTTCGTTGTTATATGACAATGACTTCCTAAGGATCGAGAAAAACAGGAATAAAAGAGATGCTTGGTGTAAAAACCTAACTTTGTAAGCAAACATAAGGGACAATGCGCCTACTCAATAATACGCTGTAGAAACAGGTGGCGGTTGTACGAAGATATGAGAGATTCGGTGAGGTAGGTTCTGTAAGACCTTCACTGCCAAGCATCCTAATCAGTATTCTACCACAGATTCATTGTGACAAGGCGGGACACAAAGGTGGTGCAATAACTTGTGTACCTCCGTTACTCATCGAGCTATAATGGTGCCACTCATGCTAAAATGGTTAATGGTTATGGATCAGGCCAGCTCAGTCTCAGCATTATCGTAAAAGATTGGATAGGTATATGCCCCACTCCTACTTGGGTAGATATGTTATAAGCTCACAATCCGATTTGCGTACATCAGGCGTCACGTGCTGACACTGACGCTGCGACAAGGCCGCAGGCGTTCAACGGTTTGCTACTGTTCATCTAAATACAAAAAGACATCATTCCAGAGGTTGTGAACCCGCTAACTCCCAATTGTGGTTTGTCGTGTGTAAAATAATACAGTCAAAAACGTAGGAATGTATCCGATTCGTCAAAGACTGCGTTTGACAGCCCAAAATATACCCAAATGGTAATATGTAGACGCACTCCCCAATCTTGAGTCCGTGCAGTAGAAGGTATCCCCTAAGCAAATCTCATGTATCTCACAGTCTCGTGGACCACAGTGTCGAGTTGAAGACTAGAAACAGACCTCCGATAAAAACCTATCCTCGAATGCGCAGCCGGAAAGTATCCCCTGCCACAAAACAGTGCAGTAAACAGCAATTCGCATTGCACGTTTGCTTACTTTATCACGAAAAATCCAACAGGATTTGATAGCAATATCACAATATTACCTTCATCAACCAAGACTTCAAGGAGGTTGGGTCATCATTCATACCTGTGGTACTGTTCTACAATTGATCATACAATGTCTCCACACCGTGTCAGAATAGTCAATGGAATATGATCGCTATGACCTAACACTCCAAGGGGTGATGAATACTATCCTCCAGAATATGCGTGCAGAACAACAGTGAACGAATGGAGCAGCGCTCGGGTCATGCAGACTCTAACTATATGTGTATGGTTGGTGACAACCGATTCCGAATTTATGTGTCACTGCGGCCTCCATAAGATAGCTACAAGACGACTGCTCCTACGCAGGGAGTATGGGTCGCTTGTGCTGCTTCACACACAGTTCCATCCACACACCCCATATCCAGTGTAAACACGAAGGAATAAGACCGTGAGGTATGTGGATGGGAGCCACGTTTCATCAACGGAGCCGGCCCACACTTCTTTAACATGCACATCAGTAGCATTCCTGTGTCTGCCTACACAGGAAATCATGCGCACCAGAGATACAAAAGGCGGTGACTGGGCAGCAGCCCACTCCACACCGGATGCCAGGAACCACTCGTCGAATCTAGCACAGTCACTAAGACCGTGCACCCCATCTCACCAGCAACGACCAATTGTCGCCTGGAGCCAGCATAATCGAGGTAGTGGTTTTTCGACAAGCATATACTTTGAGAACATGTATATTAAGCGCTGCCACACCAGGGTATCAAATAACAGCAAACATCTGAAACGAAAAAAGCTCAACACGCAGGCAAACCCCTACACGGATTCGAACCGATGACCTTATGGTTGCAAACCAAACGTGCAGACCACTCGGCCACCGGCCGACAGTCAGTTTAATAAGTAGCCTTTATCAGCGCAGCGCTTTGTGGGCACGAAACTCCGGATTCGGTTCATTTCCATTTACTAACCCATGATAATAATGCAGTTGATGTGATACGTATGTTACATCCTCGCTGCAATTAGTCCGTAGGTTTGCCTGCGTGTTGAGCTTCTTTCGTGGTATACTCAGCCCGCGCGCGACTGGTGGTGGTCGCGCGGCAGCGAAGCACCGTTACAGCGTACAGCTGACACATTATTTTATTATATTTATTAAACTGACTCGTATTCTCGTCAATGTTGAACGTGCGCCATGGATCAGGCACTTGCGAACGCATGTGCTTCCGCACAATGCGCTCGACGTCGATGGAGGACACTCCATCGGAGCATGTCGCTTCAGTAGCAGGCGGTTCTCTTCCGCATGCAGTAGTGATTTATCATACTCCTACGATAAGTTCAGCTACCAAGTTTAGTGGTTCCCCATATTCGTTGCCAATGTGTCAGGTGGTTTTTAGTCACGTGCAGAAACTAGAACATTCCGGAACGTTCGAAGTCGATGCGATATGCGTTAGTAATGGATTAATCGCCAAAATAGTGGATTTCCTAGGCAATTCTTACTTTAGCCCGGACAATGGCTGGGCCGAAACGCTAGCTTTTTCAACGTCTTCGTAAACTAAGTTCAATTGCTCACTGGGTAACAAGGTAGGGACACCACTACCAGTTTTGGTGCTTTGTTTGATTTATGAGAAGAGCGCATTGGTCGTTCTATAAAGTGTACTTAATGGCAGCTCGTCTTTTTGGCGTTTCCCGCATTTTTTCATGTTGCAAGCATTCCTGACCGTTTTGTAGTAGCAGTAGTAGAGCTCAAATCGCGTAATTCTGAAACGATCCCATAGTTTACGGCTGCTTTTAATCATTGGTCTCAATTCGTGATCGATCCAGAGAGGGCCTTCGGAGAAGGGTCTTCTTTTAGAGAAGGGGATGACCTGTTCAATGAGCAACATCAGCTTTGAGTACAAGTGATTCCACGCTGTCAACATTGCGGCGTTCAGGGATACTCCAATCGACAACGCTTGGGGCCGTTTTTCAGACGAAGTGTATCGGCACGCCAGAAATTCCTACGGTCGGCCCGTTGGCTGTGAACTGCGAAGCGACGTATCCACTAGAATGAGACAGTACAGTGATCACTGCTGCCAATGGGCTGTAGAATTGATAGGTCCGTGATGTCTGATTGTGCTGGGGAAAGCACGAGATCTAGGATATGCAGCGTCTGATCTGGAGGAATACGAGCTGGTGTAGTGACATGTTGAAGCAAATTACATTGAAGAATGGTCTCCAGTAACTTGGCCTCGAAGGAGTCTAAAGGTTGATCACAAAGAAGCAGGTTCCAATCAACAAAACCAGCATTGAAATCCTCAACGATAAGACACCATGCGTTCTGATCGAGTCCATCAAGCGGTCTCCGAATCCTGAAGGCGCTCTGTAGATGACAACAAATGTGAGAGAACTGCGGCCATCATGAACACGATACCAGAGGGGATCGAACGCATCGTCGATGTCACTGATCACTTCAACTACATGTAGTTTGGTATCAGTCTTCCAACAGACGATTACGCCACCGCCGGACCTCCCTCCTTGTCGATCGGATCGGGAAAGGTGGTAACCGGGGATAGACACCTCTGAATCCGTGATATCTGTGAATGGCCAGGTTTCAGTGAAGGCCATCAAGTCTGGATGGGTCTCTAAAGCAATGAACTGAATATTATCCAATTTATTTCTTAGACTGCGCACATTGGTGGTTAACATGCGCAGTCCATTTGTGTGCTTTACTGTCCCGGGATACCAAGAATGGGTCTCCAACGGGCTCTCACGGTCTTCTGAAGCATGCAAAAATCCGCGATATGGAGGTCTGCTTCACCACTTCCTCGGCGAGTTCGTACCTCCACAACAGTTTTTTCACTTTTATCCGATCCT